AACATCGGCGATGACATTCTTCAAGATCAAGAAGACGGCGAGATCAACGGGGGAGCTTGCATGGACCCTCTGATAGGAATAGCAGATGCAGATGCCCCGATCCAGGATCCGCGGGAATACTATCTGAGAGTGTTTGGTGCCAGGCTTGCCCAGGTTACGGGTGAGTGGAAACTAGCAGTGGAGAAGACGGAAAATAGTGTCGATAAGCACAACCAGGTACTGTATGTTTCCACTGCCTCGTTGTCACTAGCTTTCACGGGGGACTCGGCAATCCAGTGGTGGCGCAAAGACTTCTTGTGGCGCCAGCTTTTCAAAGTCCCAGACGAGAGCGTGCCATGATCTTGCTGTCAATATTTTCGGAAAGGAGCTGACGGTGAATGGCTAGCGCCGTTGCTACCCCGTTTCCGAAAGCACCTTTGGCGAATCCAGCCGCGAAGCAAAGGAAGACTTCCAGACACCCAAGCGATCAGTCGCTGATGTGAACAGCGTCATACACCTTTCGACGCAATTTTCTAACAGGCTGAACCAGCCCCTTTCCGAGGTGGAGAGGGTCCTGGCTGATGATGTCCACTCTCGCGTCTTCTCTGGGCTGCCACTGTGTTGGCCGCTGTTTATAGCCATGGAAGGCGAACTTCACGAGCTGCAGAGACTTCAGAAGGCTCTTGAGAGAGTGGAAAAAGGCCTCAAAACAACCGCGGAGACGGTCAGTCAACTAACAACTCTTCGGCACGTTACTGACTACTGCCAAAGCTCAACAGCAAACTCGCGCTTGAGCCCACGCAACACTCGCTCATGACAGCAACAAGCTCACACGTGAGACTATGCAAATCGCGCATGATAACAACAGACTGACGCTTCAGGCCATGCAAATCGGACATGACAGCAAAATTCTCTCACTCATGATGATGGTAAGTTTTCCTTATATCACAGCGACATCGGTTTAACCAGCTCCGTTTTCGCCAGCTATATATATCACACTTTGCGTTAGCTGCAAATTTCTTCTCGATGGATGGCAAGGTCATGCCATTTCGGCCGCCGAATCCCAGGTCATTTCTCGGTGTTCTCCTCTTTTTCGCCGCCATGGGCGCCCTTCCTCTCTTGGTCACCTGGTTCTCAAACCGGGTGCTGAAGTGGCGTGGGAGGATTCATTCAATAGCACCTCTGGATGAACTACATCTCGACTTGGGACAACGCCGCCCTCCGACCACAGACGAAGAGAACAGGCCAGGCTAGAGCCATACCGCTTTGTGCGACATGTTGTTACCCTCTTCGACGGATCTCAATCACAATATTAGCAAGGACTCAGGCCACACGATTGCCCTTGCCGAGTTGAGAGGGTGTTGGACGCCAGAGATTTGGTCTACGTTCAAGAAACATCTCAGAGGCAATACGAGTCATGTTTACTGAAGTAATTGCCAAATGTTAGCTCCAAGCTTGAAAAGCGAGCAACTCGCTCCGTGGTGCTGCCACATTGACTTCAAATTGGGATATCCAAGAAAGGGCTGCTTACGTTTAACCACTCCAACACTGATGTTACACATGCTACCAGGATCGACGAATGGATATCTTAATGCAAACAACGTCGTACGCGAAGCCAGCGAAGCGGCCTAGGCTTTTGGGATTTGAGCTTCAGACGGAATACGATTGGCGCCTCACCTCCCTCAGTGCCCAGTTGACGGGTCACCGTGAGGGATCGGATATGGAGTGACGGTGGAATCGAGTAGTGCTCGAGTTTAAGGGCCACCACGTTGCCCGCTCATGATCGAAAGTCACTTTCGAAGTCACTCTCTTCTACCTCACTTGGGCCCTCGTCCTATTCAATCACTCATGTATCTACTGTATCTGTGACAGTCGCTTGAACTCCTTTTCTAGACTAGCACATCGTTTCTTGCGGCTGATTCGATCACTATGACGCCTCGCCTACTTTACGGTAGGTCTTACGCCAGCAGAGGATGCTTCCACATACGCCATTCACGGTGTTCGATAACCCGTCGATGCAAGTCGCCTGCCATGCTCAATGCAGCCGAGCGATGCTCAACTCGACTTCATCCGGGTGGACAAAAGCACGGCAATTGGGCAGACGCTATTGGTCAACAATTATTTATTTCCGCACCGTGAAATTTAGCGATCGTCGAACCGGGGTGTCAGGAGGCCGAGACGAAGAGATCCAATGTAGAGTGATTTAATTTCTGAAAAAGCTGGCGAATAAGCTGATGTCGGTATTTAACGCTCAAGGATCACAGGAGAATTATGGTAGGTGGAATTGGAGATACACGTCTCATTGGAGGATACGCAAGGCGAGTAGCGAAAACGCTTTCCGAGGAAATTTATCCCCTACACCGCCGTACATGAATACTGGAGCGTACAGTACAGTATCAATATTACTTAGTGATAAGTCTCTAGCCTGATTCGAGTTTCCATAAGCCCTGTGCAAAATAGGGATAGTGCGTTCCCGGATCGCTCTCAATTAGTCCTTTATAAACGTATTGGCATGGCAAGATTCGTGGTCAACCGTGTCGTCGCTCTACGATGGGAGATTACGATAATACGCCCAACTTCTTAGGCTCTGAGCCGACCGAGATGATCAATTCGTTCCTCGAGTATTTCGAGAGAAGCTTTAGCCCGGGATCGTCGCCATATTGGACAACGGACAGACCACCGGCATTCCATCAGGAGATCGGCTACCTGACCCTGGACTCTCCGCGGACGTTCCCCTCACAAGTTGTGAGCTCGATTCACCCACCATCATCAACCCCCTGTTGCCCGTGCCTGAACGATGACGTTCTGGGGAGGTGGCCAGAGTCCCCTCTTTTGTCGACTGGGAACGGGGCGAGGAACGAGGGTCTGTACCCCAGTTACCAGCAATGGGATCACCAATCCCGCAGAAATAAGGGTAGTGCAACAAAAAGGGACAGGAAGGGCACCCGAGACCAATCTGCGCGGCGAGAAAAGGAAACCCTTCTCAGTGAGGGTCCCTTAGAGGATGGAGAGTTGCGTCTTTCGCAAAAAGGAATTGATCATTCTAGTGACCATGATGGCTCTACTCGGCTAGCTGAGGAAACACGAGCTTGAAGGCAAGGTGGTAGGTCAGTGTCGTAACCATACACACCATTGATTTGGTGGCATGTGGGACGTCGGCCGTGGGAAATGTTGACGTAGGGCATCAACTTTACTATAGACCCTCCCGAAACACACCTACTGAACTGTACTGTACCCACGAGGTCGTATTGTAACCTTCTTTACAACCTAGAATTGGAGCTCTCATGTCGGTCATATAGTCGACTCACGTGCGCAGCAAGGTCATGCTACCGCATCCGCTGAAACAACGGATCATGCGGATGTCTAACCATAGCGGACAGCGCGACCAGAACGTCTGACAACTCTACGTCATGAGGGGCCATTCCCAAAGCCGTGAGAAGCACCTTTGCTCAGAGTGTACCCCCCCCC